TTTTGCTGTTCAATCCCTCTTGGCAATATAATATCATTCCACAAGGGATGGAATGAAAAAATGGTAAAGAAATAAAATAGATCAATTCAGGAAATAGTAGTATCATGAGAATTGACATGAAAAAAGGTATACCTAAGGGAAAACTAATAATTCAAAATTGACTTTTAATAAATATTCAAGATGGATTCAATAGGATTTCTCCTATTTCCCATTATGCCCTTAGAGCCCTGTTCTGAACGCAAAGGCACTAAGTACCTCCTCCTCCCATTCTAGGTTCAGAGAATATGTTACAAGGAACTGTCCTCTCAAAGGACACATTTCAGTAGAAACTCCCACTGGGAAAGGAGGGATGGTTTAATGTGAGAAGTTCTCTCCACCATCCCATGGGTGGCCTGCACAATGTGTACAGCAAGATAACACCCGATAAGGGGCATCATGGTACCAGTGATTACTTTCCAAGGGGATGGCATATATTTTAGATGAAAATACAAACCTGGTAGCAAAATGAAAATTATTTTCTTTTTCATGCAACTCTTAGGAGAGGTTAATATCGTTCCTAGGTTTCCAGGTGGCATTCCTCCAGATTCTTTGTTTAAAACAATGGAAGCCCAGTCTAGCTAGCTTTAGGCAGAAAAATAATTTAATGAAGGCCATACAAAGCATTTCCTGGACCACCACTAAATCAGGCTTGGAGGTGTCTACAAATCATGCCCTGACCACACCACAGATGTGCCTTGGTGGAGACGACCTAGCCACCAACACTCCAGCGTGGGCCTCAAACACTGGAACTGTTGCTGGAATGCTGCTCCCGCTGCCTCTACAAACTGACTGTATTTGCCAAAACAGCCTCTTCCGGGTCCTTCTGCTTAGTCTGATGTGCCTAAGGTCACAGGACAGCCCTCACTGAAATATGAGCTTGGAAAGCAAGTTCCTGGCCCCCCCAATGGGGAAGTGCAGATGCACAAAGGTGGGAATTCTCACACACAGGACGTGTTCAAATTTACGGGGTACCCACATGAAATAACAATGTGCCCCGGAGTGTGGACCCTGCATTCCCCGGAGCACTGCTTCTCAACTCATGATGCAATAGAGATTTAAATTTATGACAGATGTCCAGATTAAAAACCTCCAAAATTAACAGAATCTAAGCTAATGGGAGATAGCCAATAATTCTTCTAATGATGTACGTCTCCTTTACTCATTACAATTTGCTAATATTTGGGTTGGGCAGCATGATAGAACTGACGTGAAAAATTAATGTTTATCCACAACCTGGTTAAAATATTGTAACTTTGTGAGTTTAGTTCCGAACAAAAATAAGAGTGGTTTTCCAATAGGGGAAATGAATTTAAATGGCATCTGAGAAACTAAACGAAGTGGGACAATTTATCTTTGTTTCTGACTGACTCAAATTATTTATTTAAAAAATATTATTCAAAGATACACAGTATTTCTACAGTGACTTAATAAAGACTCAAGCCTACACAACATCCACTTTAAAAGCAACTGATTCTGCTCTCCGAAAAGATCCCTCTTGCTGTTTGCAGTAACATTCCCACCCTCAGGAAATCACTAATCTGCTTTCTGTCTCTATAGATTTACCTTTTCTGAACACTGCATTTAGATGGAATCATATGATATGTGGCTTTTTTAAGTCTGCCTTCTTTCACTCAATATACTGTTTTCAGGATTCCACCACATTGTAGCATGTATCCATACTTCATTCCTTTATATTGCTGAATAGTAGTCCATGGTATAGATACATCCTTTTGTTTATCCATTCACCAGCTGACAGATATTTGGATTGTTTCCAGTTTTTTACTAATATGAAGACTACTGCTGAGAAAATAAACATGCAAGTCTTTGCGAAGACACACACACACACACACAATAAAAGTACCTGATTCTGCTTTCAGCTAGTTCTTTTAGAACCTCTCCTCCTTGCTTAGTCCCAAGTAATGCTTTACATATTAACCTTGTAAGGTCCATCTGTACATATTTATTCACATATATTTGGATGCGCTGGATTCTAATTTTTTTAAAAAACCTACGTTTAGAATGAAGACTACTTACAAATAAATATATAAAAACAAATAAATAAAACATTTATAGTACAACCATTTACTATAAATATACAAAAACAATTAAGTAAAACTTTTATAGCACAAAGAACAATTTGGGCTCTGTGGAACAAGATAAATTATGTTAACTTTCTATCTCTTTTCCAATAGAAAAATGCCAGATATTTATCTGTCCCATTGATGTTTCCAATCCAAACAGTATTTCTCTAAAGCTAATAACATCTTAGCAATATAATATCCTTCCACAGAACAATGGATCAAAATATCAGGATCATTCCTTAGGAAATTCCCATCACGTTCTTCATACTGTTTTTTCTTGAAGGTTCAATTCCAAGCTAAACTGATCTTTCCTGTGAGAGTAGAGCCAAACCATAGTTTATGATTATATATGTTATGTGCTATCCTTGGCCCTGTTTGCCTTTTATAGCTCTCATAAGATTACATTTTCTTAGTTGTTGTTTTTTTCTCACAATTTCATTGTTTGGGGACACTGACCCACTTTGTAAAAGACAATTCTACTCTCCAATATAAATAGAGAACTCAGAAAATTCTGTCAGGCTAAGTCTCCTATTTTACAAAGGAAGAGGAGGAGGAGGAGGAGGGGGAGGAAATAAGGTGGTGGTGGTGAGAAATAAATAAATCAGACTCACAACTACCTAAGTGAAAAAGTACTACTTATATCCTATATCTATCAAGAGTCAGATTTCTTAGTACTAAGACTTTCTGAACCTATTAAGATAACATTGTGTCTAATGATATGAAGCTCTTTTACAAAGGAAGAGGAGGAGGAGGAGGAGGGGGAGGAAATAAGGTGGTGGTGGTGAGAAATAAATAAATCAGACTCACAACTATCTAAGTGAAAAAGTACTACTTATATCTATCAAGAGTCAGATTTCCTAGTACTAAGACTTTCTCAACCTATTAAGATAACATTGTGTCTAATGATATGAAGATCAGCAAAAAACCATATTGTTATTACATGAATGAAGTAAAACGAACAAACAAAAAGAAGGGAGGGACGGAGGAAGAGACAACTCATGGAATTGGGAGAAAATATTTACAAATCATCTATTTGATGAGGGACTTATAATCAGAATGTATAAGCCGCTCTTACAACTCACCGATAAAAAGACAATCTAATTAGAAAACGGGCAAAGAATCTGAATTTCTCAAAAGAAGATATACAAATGGCCAATAACCACATGAAAAAAAGTTTAACAGCACTAGTCATTAGGGCAGTGCAAAGCAACACAGCAATGAGAAACTACTTAACACACCAAATAGAACAACTATAATATTTTTTAAATAGAACATAACCAGTATTGGGGAACATGTGGAGAAATAGGAACCTTTTAGATTGCTGGTGAGACTGTAAAATGGTGTAGTCGCTTTGGGAAACAGTTTGGCAGCTCCTCAGAAACACAGAGTCACCATATAACCCAGCAATTCCACTTCTAGGTAGTTGCCCAAGTGAGATGACAGGCAATGGGGGGATAAGGACACATATGTAATACCTTAATCAATAAAGAAAAAAAGGGAAAAAATATGCTAAGTGCAAGAAGGCCATCTCAAGAGATTACATAATATGACTCCATTTATATGAAATGTGCAAAATAGGCAAATCCATAGAGACAGAAAAGTTAGTGGTTGACAGTAGCTTGGAGGAAAGAAACATTGTCTGCTAGTGGGTACGGGATTAGTTAGTGGTGATGGGTGCACAAGTCTGTGAATATACCAAAAACCACTGAATTATATACTTTAAAAGAGTGAATTTTATAGTATGTAAATTATAGTTCAAGAAAGCTATTATTTTAAAATGAAAGAAAAATACACTGAAAAGCATAATTTTGAATCAAGATACAAGTATTTTCAATGGTATATTTTATTATACCATGATTGTGTTAAAAAAAATCGAACATCAAAGGTTTCCTTTGGGGATCTTAAGGTTAACACTAACATTGGGAAAGCTTTTTGTAAAGCAACTTAATTCTAGGAAGTTATAGGATAAAGGCACAGGTACCTCAGGCTGCTAGGAAGCTTTTCACAAAATACATGACTTTCTTGAGAGGGACTACAATGAAACCAAAATGTGGCACACATTTCTGCTCTCTCTATCCTTTGCATGTCTGTCCATCCTTCTCCGTGTTTCTAATTCTGGTCTATTAGATTTGAATCATGAACCTCAAAGCATGACATCCAAACCCCCTTTATATAATAATAACCCAGATTAAGTAAGTACTGAATGTTAAAATTACAGAAATGAGATGTTCGAATTACAGATAATTATTTCCCTCTCCTCTCAATCCATTCCTGTTAGACCCCACGTACTGCAGAAATGCAAGCTATCTGATTTTTTTAAATTTTGAGAGAAGAGAGCAAATACTTGAGAAATGCTTGTTGTTGTTGTGTTGTTTGTTTGTTTAAAAAAAACAACAACTTGTTTTAAACTGCCACATCAACTAAAATAAATAGAAATGCCCAGTTGGTTCAGACAAATAAATAATAATGGTAAAGCATTAGGTTTATTGTCATTATATGCCTAACCCAACATAATTTTGGCTTCAAACAGCAACCAAATACCTTGGTACTAATAGGACAGCATACATTAAAAAAAAAAAACCTACATAAAAATTCAATTTAAGATCAGATACAAACCTTAAGTCTAGCCACGTGTTTTCAACAGCACAATCCTATGGCTCTCCTCTCAGTCCTGAGGTACATCAACTGGGTGGATGGCCTTAATTCAGAATTTCCTTTATAGCATCACCTAGATATAACACATTTCACTATTTCTATCTTTCTGAGAATATTAAAGGCCCGAATTCTACCTAACGGGGCCTCTGGCTATAGCAGTGCTGACGGCGCAGAATTCTCTGATGTACGTGGATGAGGGACTCACTGTCACCTCACATGCCATACCTGGTATGCACTGTGCCATGGCCTCGGTGGTTATGGTTGGAGCGACTTGGGGCTGCTGCTGACTGGAGCTCACTTCTGGCTCTGTGTTAACTGAAGGAGAAAGGGCTACCTCGCAGGAGGAGACCTGGCTGGGCAGATGGGGCAGGAACTCTTCGGAAGCCACTTGCTCATCCTGTCCAGGCAGCTGCAGGGCAGACAAAGGGATGCTGATCTGTTTGTTAGGATGGGATGTGCTCACAGGCATCTGCATGGCCACTTGCTGGTTGGTGCCGTGGGTACCAGAGGGTCCTCTGTTTGGTGAAGCCAGAGATGCCCTGGTGGTCTTCTGGACGATTGGTCTGGACATCACAGAGGGGGATGCAGACACACAATGTGGGTCGAGCTCTGTGCTGATGGCAGAAGATACATGGGGAATTAGCTTAGCAGACCCTACACAAGAGGGGCCAGCATGAGTCTGAGGCTTGGGTTTTGCCATCTGTGTCAACGACAGGGCTGGTCCATCGACTCCTCCAGTCAGCTCTGCATTTGCCACAATGTAATAATCTTCAGGAATCTCTTGTTTGATCTTCTTGATGATGACATCATTGCTGCATTCATCAACCATCTGAGCCTGGGAGCTTGAATGGAGAGAAGACGGGAGTATTCCAGGCCTTTTTCGAGCAATGCTTTGAGGCCTTTGGGTTTGGGGTTCAAAGTCACTATCCTCATCTGTAACTGACGACTCACACACCATGTCAAACAGGGTGTTTTCATCTTCATATTCTTCGACAGCTTCATCCAGTTCAGAGGGCTCACTGCAGTAAGAGAAGTCACAAGAGTCTCTGGTGCGATTACAGTCTAGCTTCGCTTTCACTGGTCTCCCAGGGTACCTTTCAACGGGGCTAGTTTGTGTCTCAGAGGGCACTCCAATTATGCTGGGACTATCCGAGTTAAAACTTCTGTTATCCTGGAAACAGACCCTCTCCTGGGAGCCAGCTCTGCAAGTAGCTGTCAGTGGCCAGTGATAAGCATGGCCAGCACTACAGCCCCACATTGCTGTCAGGTTCCCGTGAGAACCTTCCGAAAGCAAGTGTTTCAGGTTAGGAATGAGGCTGCAAATAGTCCCATGGCTGTGGGCCCAGCTGACCAATTTGGACAGATTCTCAGAAGAGGTATGAAGGCAATCCTCCATGTTACAGGATCAGCAGTGTCTTTCCTAAAGGGAAATAATCAAAACAAGAAGCCATTATTACCCAAGATATTCCCATATGTCAATTACTTCAATTTCCTTGAACTATGGTCATCGTGTAGCACAAAAAAGAAATGCACTTCAAACCGGTGTCTAGTTAACCCTGGCTGATGTGGCTCAGTTGGATGGAGCATCGTCTTGTACACCAAAAGGTGTTGGGTCCAATTACCAGTCAGGGCACATGCACAGGTTTCAGGTTCAAGCCCCAATTGGGGCGCCTACACGAGGTAACTCATGGATGTTTCTCTCTTCTTTCTTTTCTTTTCTTTTCCTTCCTTCCTTCCTTCCTTCCTTCCTTCCTTCCTTTCCTTTCTCTCTCTCTCTCTCTCTCTCTCTCTCTCTCTCTCTCTCTCTTTCTCTCCCTTTCTCTCTCTATAATCAATTAAAAATGAAAAAAACTGTTATCTAGTCAATATCACTGCATAGGGACAGTAAAATGGTGATGATCCACAACCCCTAGAATACCTATCTAAGGTGCTGGAGAAGGAAGAAAGGAAGGAGATTTTCCTTATTTTTAAATTAGTAATCCCCAAATCACCCATGCTGATAGCTTCTTGGCAATCATCTCTGTATTATAAGATATTTAAACACTAAGCACTACTGTTTCATGAAGACATGGGGGGGGGGTGGTGGTGTCATCAATTTCTGATTTTTAAACCTCTCATGCTAAAAGTGATTGTCTCTTATAATGACCCTGGCTGACACCAGCCTGGTTCCCATGGGCTGGCGATCTATTTTTACACTTGCATGTACATTAAGCCTGTAAACACTGAGGATGGATTACTTTGAACACGGTGAAAGCAGGCTAGGCATTAGAAACAAGGGAACTATAAAGGCTTAAGCCCAAAGATCCTTAATCCTCTGTCAGGGTGCCAAACTTTTTGAAAGTTCAAAGTATGACAACTTAAAGAAGCACGTTCCAGGGGTTTCATGAGGAACATTCACTCACCTGAGGACCTGAGTGAGTGGTGAGCTAAATTCTCTAACAGATTGTTGAGCAAACACGCTCTGCTCACACAAATAAAGTACAAAAGTCCTCTTTATCCAGATGCTCATTAACTACGACCCTATAATCATGAGATTGTGAAGGGAAACAAAAGCTGTCATATTAAAAAATATTCACCAATGAGCTGACCAGTCTCCACTCAAACCCCCCCCCCCCCCCCCGCCCCCAAATACTAGTGTTTATTCCTGGGAACCTGTTTATGTAACTCTCTCATTCTGATTTTTGGATGCTGCAAACACCTGAGCACATAAAAGCAGGATGAATGTAAATTGAAATTAAAAGTGCTTCTAAAAATGCAGGATTTAAAGAAGTTGCTTAAAAATGCTAGAGAACTACGTCAATCATGTGTAAAAGCCATTTTAACAAATTAATGTCTGAGAGACTTAGACTAGTAAGCAAATGTGGAGGATTCTCAAAGATGAATGAGGCTTCAATAAATACTTGTGGCCCGGCCGATGTGGCTCAGTGGTTGAGTGCCAACCTATGAACCAGGAGGTCACGGCTCAATTCCAGGTCAGAGCATATGCCTGGGTTGTGGGCTCGATCCCCAGTGTGGTGTGTGCAGGAGGCAGCCAATCAATGATTCTTATCATTGATGTTTTTCTCTTCCCCCGCCCCCCGCTTCCTCTTTGAAATCAAAAAAATACCCTTCCTCTCTGAAATCAAAAATATATATATTTTAAAAATAATTAATATTTGTGGGCTGACTGAATTAGTAGAATCAGGATATACAGAATGAGGAAAAACAATGTTGAGTAAAGCAAGAAAGTTGGGAAATTCAGAGTGTACAGAGAACAGCAAACACTTTCATGTGCTTGAAAATAGAGGTTAAGGAAAGTAGCCAGATACGAGTTATGAAAAACAGGTTGGAAGAGCATGGAAGGTTACAAAGGTCAAGCTAAAGAACTGTACTGGGAAGGAGAAATCAGGGGACGGAAACAGATGACGTTTGTTACAGTCCTATCCACAACTACCATTCATGAGGTTGTATATTATCAAGCAGGAAATTACGTATTAGCTGGGCAAAAATGAGGCAGCACATCCTTTGATGTTTCTTTGGTCAACTGCTGTCCTGCCTAACTGTCCTCTGCATGTTGAAAGCCAGTGTGCAGGGGGAAAAAGCCAGTGTGCAGTGTGTGGAAATGTGTAAGTTGCAGAGCTTGCCATGCACATAAAGAAATTAATCATTTCCATAAACCGTGACTCTCTACACTGGTGGAATATGTGTCCAAATTTAAGTATGCTAAACTGGGACTCACCAGCTATGAGCTACAAGGCCCTTCACCAATATTTATTTATTTATGTATTCATTCATTCATTCATTCATTCAATACCAATAACTGAACGTCAGTCCTCACTGTATGCCATTAATAGGTTCTGCAAGTTTAAGCAAAATGATGTATAATGAAACAAATTTTACTTTAGGCTAATTGATAGAAATAAGAGTTAAGTTCCTACATCTCATTGTCATAATGAAACAGTATTCAGTACAACCTGCTCTATTCTGTTCCAAGCACTGCACTCAGTGCCAGAGATACAGCATTAAATAAGACAGATGTGATCCCCATTCCCACCGAGTTTTAAGTCCAGCTGGAAATGCCTACAATTAAACAAGCAATTTATAAAATTGTGTGGCATGACTGACGAAGTAATTGGGGCTTCATGTTCTTGATCTATAAAATAAAGGGGTTGGATGGTGGTCTCTGAGGATTCTCTAAGATCTAACATTCACTCAAGTCTAATAATATAGAAAAATTTTAAAACTTTACAGGTTGCTAGACATTTTCCTCTACTTTATAGTAAAGAAGGCCACAGATAAGAAAAGGACTAAGAAATAAATGTAGTATACTATGGAAATGTGGGAAGGAGGATTTTAGTGCACAAAAATTGGGTACAGAGAGGAAAATAAAACATCTTTATTAAGACAATAGAGACACAGATAAGGATTCACATCTACCACCTTTAACTAGTTAATAGGCAAAATAGCAACACAAACATCATTGGGAAAATATAAACATTGTAGAAAAATCTACATTCCAACGACTTGATATATCAGCTGAAATCTCTTACAAATATTATAAGCACCCATAATAAAGTATTTTCATGACAGACATTTCATATACTTATTCATTAAAAGATTAAGTATCTTCTATGTACAATAAATTGTACTGGGTGCTATAGCATAGTAACTGTAAGTCAGAAATGGGTACTGATTTTGAGACGTTCACAGTTTAGTGGTAAATTTAACAAAGGAGTGAAGCATTTTACAGAATTCTTTGTGCAAACATAAGAAAATTAGTATCACATGCAAAACACATCATATAACCAAGGTGTTCACAAGAAATGGCCCACTCAGTACCTATTTACATTTAATAATTAACTGTTTACTTAGACTTGTATGTGAAGTAGATGGTTCTTTCTTTTTAAAATTTTTATTGATTTATTGGGGTGACATTAGTTAATAAAGTTATATAGGTTTCAGGTGGACAATTCTATAATTCATTATCTGAACATTGTATTGTGTGGTCACCACCCAAAGTCAAGTGTCCTTCAGTTACCATTTATCTCCCCTTTTCCCTCTTCTACTTCCCCTCACTCCTTTTCCCTCTGGTAATCACCATTCTATTGTTTGTCTATGAGTTGTTGTTGTTTTGCTTAGTCCCTTCCCTTTTTTTACACAACCTTCTAACAACCCTCCCCTCTAACAGCTGTCAGTCTATTCTCTGTATCTATGAGTCTGTTTCTATTTTGTTTGCTAGCTTATTTTGTTCATTAGATTCTGTATATAAGTGAAATCACATGGTATTTGTCTCCCTCTGACTGGCTTATTTCACTTAGCATGATACTTTCCAGGTCCATTTATGCTGTCATAAAAGGTAAGATTTCCTTCTTCTTCTTCTTTTTTTTTTTTTTTTACAGCCAAGTAGTATTCTATTGTGTAAATGTACCACCGCTTTTTTATCCACTCATCTACTGATAGAAGAAAAGACCCAGATCCCTCCGAGGCCTGGAAAGCCTATTCTGAACTGACCCCATTCCAGCTTTTCCCTTCTGTATCTAAACTAAAAGCTATTAATAAATATTACACAGCAGTCTTTTAGTTATATTCATATTTAGTTACTTTGTATTTTACTGCTAAAACTTCCTTTTTAATCAATATATTTGTCTTAAAGCAGAGCAGATGTCTAATACCTATTAGGTAGGTAATATACAATTGATAATCCTTTCATCAAGTCAGTCTTTGAAGAAATGAGTGTGGGTCCACAAAAAGCACAAAAATATAAATAAAAGTCTTATTCCTAATAGTCCCAAACTGGAACCAACCCCAAATCAGAAGAATGAATTAAAAATTTGCTGTATAGTCATACCATGGACAGCAATAAAAAAGAATATACTACTGATACATACGACAATGAATAAACTTCAGAAATATTATGCTCAGTGAAAGAAGCCAGGCACATCAGAATATTTTTTGTATATTCCATGTATATGAATTTCAAGTCCAGGCAAAACAATCTATAGTGATACTAGACAGAATAGTGGTTATCCTTAGAGCAGCGGTTCTTAACCTGTGGGTCGCCAACCTGTGGGTTTCGACCCCTTTGGGGGTTGAACGACTCTTTCACAGGGGTCACCTAAGACCATCGGAAAACACATATATAATTACATATTGTTTTTGTGATTAATCACTATGCTTTAATTATGTTCAATTTGTAACAATGGAAATACATCCTGCATATCAGATATTTACATTACGATTCATAACAGTAGCAAAATTACAGTTATGAAGTAGCAACGAAAATAATTTTATGGTTGGGGGTCACCACAACATGAGGAACTGTATTAAAGGGTCGCGGCATTAGGAAGGTTGAGAACCACTGCCTTAGAGGGTTAAGGAGCACAAGGGTGATGAAACTGATTTACATTTTACTTGGTGTTCATATGGTGTATACATATGTAA